TTCCATGGCTTTTTTCTTGGTAGTGTGAGGGCCACAGAGGCCACAGAAGTTACTAGAAGCTTCCACCATGTCTGGTAGAGCCAATCTCTGGCAGCTCCCAAAGTGGACATGCCTCTGGCCAAGACTGGGCCAATTAGAGATGGTGGCAATGCCTCTGTGATAACAGATTTAAGAAGAAAGAAAAACTAAGTTTGTGGCTCATTTGTAATTTTCCAGTCAGAGAAGAGTGCAGTGAGAGTATGTGAGAAGAGAACAACATGGAGACACCAAGGTCAGTGGAGAGGGAGGGGGAGGAGGCAATTTAGGAACCGGAGCCAAGATTCCTCTGCAGGCCATGGTGAAGACCATGGTGAAGCAGCTGTGCCCCTGCAACCCAGGCAGATCCACAGGGAATGCAGAGATCCATCCATAGCCTGTGAAGGAGGTGCCCATGCCGGAGCAGGAGGATGCCTGAGGGGAGGCTGTGATCCAGTGGGAGACTCATGAAGAGAGGGCCCCTGCTCCCATGTTGGAGCAGCCTGTCCTTGGAGGACTGCACCCTGTGGAAGAGTGACCCACACCACAGCAATTTTGGGAGGGCTGTTACCCAGGGGAGAGATTCAAGTCTCAGCAAGTCAAAGGGAACTGTTGCACATGAGATGGAGCCCCATCAGAGTTGTCCAGAGAGAACTGTCTCTCATGGGAAGGACCTCACAGTGCAGCAAGGGGAACAACTCCCATCCCTGAGCAATGGGAAAAGCTGTGGGTGATGGACTGACCATAACCCCCATTCCCTGCCTCTTCCTACTGCTGGGTTAGGAGGTACAGCTGGAAAAGAGAGAGGGATGGGCGAAGGTGGTTTTAGGGGCTTGTTTTGCTTCTCATTACCCTTCTTTGATTTTGTTAGCAATCAATTTACTTTATATCTCTAAATTGAGATTTTTTTGCCCTTGATGGTATTTAGTGAACAATCACTCCCAGTCCTTATCTCAACTCATGAACCCTTAGTTTTATTTTCTCCTCTCTGTCCAGCTGCAGAGGGGGGTGAGCGAGTGGCTTTTGTGGGTGCCTGACATCCAGCCAGAGTCAAACCACAACACCCTGTTAGCTCAATAATGACAAGGCTGATGCTAGAGGCATACAGGAGGCCCAAGGGACATGGCATGCACCTTGGCTCAAGGAATTCAGCATTTAGCTGGCTGGGAGCCATCACTGTTTCCTCAAAAATGAACTACCAACACAGACTCCTCTGCCAAGTCAAACACGTTGTCTGGGGCACCACAGCATCAGCTGGCCTCTGTGTGTGTGGCACTGCCCAGAGGCTGCAGGACCCAGGGGCACATGTGAGGTGGGGGGCTCCTGTCCACAGCTCCCTGTCAGGATGGAGATCTTAGAATCACCTACCAGGGGTACTCAGCAGTTGGGAGCAGTAATTATGCAGTTGTCTTTAAGTGGGTCATACTGCAAATTTGTTCTCATGCCTCACGTGGGAGGCAGTCATCAGAGGAAATGTATTTCTGTAAAAGATGTGACATTTGAAAAAATCAAATTCTACCCAAAATAAAGCAGCAAGGCAAAATGCTACCAGAGGAAGCTACTACACAGGAATGCTCTCAGAAAATAGCAGCCTGGGAAGCTTTACAAGCTAAATATCAGTACTGTGGTACAGAGTTAAAGAACTAATGGGCTGTGTATCTCATTCACAGAAAAAATATTTTCAGTAAAGATGCATGTATACATCTGCCATAAATGTTTAACTCCCTAGCAGTTTGAATTAAACAGGCTGAACAGAACAGTCATTTTGAAGCAGCCTCTGTTTCCAGACACAGGTAACACTACCCTCTGCTGTCGGAAACCACAAAGTGCCACTGCATCTAGCACAGCCAGCACAGCGCAGCTACAGGGAAGCCTCTGTCCTTCCCATGCCCAGCTGCAAGTCACTGCTTTCCCTGGAGAGCCACCTTTAGCCAGCTGCTGTCCTGAGGGTGCTGCGAGGGCAGCAGGGAGTTGCAGAGTCCCCATGGTTCCGGCACCTCAATGAAAAGTGCACTAACTTGCATTGCTTAAAGTGTGTCTGTACTAAATTACATTCAGGCCTTTGCTCTTGTTTCTATGAACTTGTAAATTATGCTAGGTACGAATGATTTCAAAATGAGGTTCAGTCTTTTATTACCCTTTCCTCATGCGTCATTCTGTTCCCTGTTCAAGTTGTAAAGCGATCTGAACCAAATATTTACTCCCTAGAATGCTGAATAAGAAATATAGTTGCTCTGTTGCAATCAACAGCCTGAAATCCAAGTCTAAGCTCAGCCTGTGCAGAGCAAAAGCCAGGGCTGCAGAAGCATAGCCTCTTCCAGGGTACCTCAGTTTGTGCTGAAGGGTCTGTCTTAACCCCTCAGGCAGCCTCTTCCTTTCACCAGGATGGATTGCAGGATGCAGACAGCAGGCAGCACTGTCTTCTGCCTTCTGAACATCTAGGAATTCCCAACTCTCAGGCTTAGGACATGTAAGAGGGACTAGCTGCAGCAGTGTATGTATGTGCTCATGGGGTAAGCAAGGAGAAATTAAAATGAAAAGGGCAGTCATATTCCCAGTACCTGGAGTTTCTCTGCTAGGAAATACGTTATCTAACAGTCTGTTTCTCTGGCACCTCTTGCACTTGAAGGCATGTGAAACCACACACCTTTACACGGGTCACAGCAAAAGGACATGGCACCAAATCTTTCTGAGGGTGAAGGAGATAGAGAAAACACATCCAGCCTAGCAGTCCTTTCACAAAAATCACACTTGCTCATCTACTGATCTTCTGAAACCCTCTCAAAACAGAAGTATCCATCACTGCTCTTCTTTCAAACTGCTACAAAAACCTGCAACAACTGTTTTACATACAGCTCAGTCTAACTTCCATCCAAGAGTGGCATGTCCCTTTCCCCAGATTCTAACTATGCTGAAAATGTGTTATCCAGGTTTGCTGCTACTGTTGATACAGCTCAGCATGTAACAGTGAGATAGCACAAGTCACAGCAGCAGACAAAAGGAGTAAGGTGGAAGAGGACATGGTCTTGGAGCAATGCCTCCCTTGTGCTTCTGACTATAAACTGAGCAGAGTACAGGGCAGAAATTCTCTACAGCCAGTCGACTGATCACCTCTCCCTTGCTAGGCAAAGGCACTTACCTCCTTGTGCCTATCTAATAAAGCAAGGATAAACAACAATATTGCATAATACTTCTAAATCCACAGTTCTAAGTTTACTTTGTGTTGTTTATTTGGTTTTATAGGTTTTGTGGATTGGAGGTTTTTGTGGTGATGGTTAGATTTTTTCTTTTTAACATTGAGGGCTTCTCTACCTGGAATAACATTATTAAGAACTGATTACACACCAGATCCAGACTGAAAAAGCACATATGCACTTACTCTCTGACTGAAAAACATGCTCCTTTTCTGTGAACGCTGTGTGTACCCACAGACAGCTGGATGCAGCAAACAGCTAAGAATCCTCTCTAGCTTCAGTTTCAAGACACAGTACTTAGAGAGTTCTCAGTAACTTTGAAGAGGAATAACAGCAATTATGCTTTACTGCAGGTATGACATGTCTAGGGGAGGCTCATCACAGAACAGCTCTCTTCCACTCAGGGAGTCATCAGAACTTCACAGCCACCACGCTGTGAAGTTGGAAGCTAAACAAACCATTCAAAATTAATGGTAAAATATCTGTGTAAAAATGTTTTGAGGACACTCTTAACTCTCATGAAATTGGTGAGTTAACAGCAAATCCAGCAAACAGTTTATTAATGTAGCTACTTTAGGAAGCAGCCAGTCCTATAGTTTGCCTGTGTTTGATGTAGGCATGCCAATATTTAGCACCTTATGCTTCTGACTCATATAATTTTCAATATGTGACTGTTCCTGTCACAGTATTGTCACAGTACAGCTGGCCTGGACAAAGTAAATCTGACCATAACACAAATTCAGTTCAGGTAGCCTGGTTCATGTCTGAACACCAGTGGGTTTGAAGCAGTTCACAGTGGGACTAAAGGTGCTTGTCTTTCTGGGCTGGTGGTAAGGTGAAGAAGACCTTGGTTCCCTCTGTGGAGATCCTGCACCTCCCTCTGCTGCGTAGCTGCTTGTGGCTGTGAATCCCTTGGTTGTAGCTGTGGTGAAGCTGGGGTCCAGCGCCAGGATGCTGCTCTCTCCTTCCAGCATACCTCCATGAATGGATCTGGCACTCCACATGGGTCCTACTGAAGGAGATTCATCAATTATCTTTTAACAGCATGAACATTCTGAGCTTGTCAACTTCAAATCTTTTACCAGAAGAAAGTTTAGAAGAATAGCTGAAACTGAAAAAGCTAATTATGAGATACCTAAAGCAGAGAGGGAGGGGCAAATATCCTACCCTTGTTTACAATTTTCTCCTAATGATTCTATTGGATTAACTCATCTAAGTTCCTTCAGACTCCCAATAATAGAGTTTCACTCTCTCTCAAAAAAACAAAAACAAAAACAAAAAAAACCAAACCCTGTTCTCTGAAGCTCTGTGCTAGGAGTTATCCAGGAATAGGCTTGGCTTTTTGGCTAGAGGAACATGCTAGACACTAATGTACCTGTGGCATGCTGGATGTTCTTATCTATAAGGCTCTGAATGTACAGTCAGAACTTTAGCACCTGTTGCATCCAAATTCCCTGAAAAGAGTGGCAATAAAGCATTCCCACACAGCTGGTAATGGCTAAGGTTATTAGGAATCAATACCACAGGTCATCAATACAGTTCAATTCCTTAAATCTTACCCAAAAGATCTGTCAGATTTCTAAACTAAAAGAGTTGTACAAAGGGAGTAGGCCCATAGTTTAAGTAATCCACCAGAATGTGTCATAAAGGGGCCCTAGAGTATAAGAAAGCTCAGTCCTAGTATTCTGGCCTCCTGGTTTCCAGCAATTAATTTTCAAAAGGACAGTGCTCTTTCATACCTTACCATTTATGGTTACAAAAGACTTTGTAACAGGGGAACTAAGTTAGGAGTTCAGCCACAGCAAAGCAAATCCAGAGAAGTACAGGAAAGAAAGAAAAAAAAAATCACTTTCAGCTCTGGGCTCCACTACTATCCTAAGTCTGTCATGTAACAGATTTTTTTCATCAGAGAAAGCAGCTTTTCATCAAAAACTGTGAGTATATTTCTAAACAACTGTTTTTCCTTGGGAACATGTGACAGCTTTGTGGTTTTCAAAGTACAGTGTTTTGGGAAGCAAAAGGCTTTCTATATCTGCAGCACTATGAAGGACAGCACAGATAACTTTTCTGCATGCAGACTGAGTTCTCTCTTGTGTAACTGGGTGCAATCTGATCATTCCTCACAACTGTAAGCAAAGGTAGCAATAATATTTTCACAAATTAAGAGCCTGTAGCTCATACAAGACCATAGTTCTTATTCATTTTAATGGTAAATGCACCTTTAGTCTTAGAATTTTCATGGCTTTGGGTGTTCAGCATTACTCAAGAGGTTGTACTTACCTATCCCTAAGTCAGAGAGGAACCAGGAACATGAACTCTTGAAGGCTTCCCAAAAATCTGCTTTTGAACTGTTTCCTTCTGTGCAGCTGTCTACAGCACAGAATCAAAGGAAAAAGTACTCCAGAGAGATTCCAGAACAGCTGAACTAAGCAAGTAACTTGTCTTATTTTCCCCCCATTTTTAGTTTTTTAAAGAACCATCATGTTTAAAAGCTAACAGAATTAGTCTTGAACAACTGCATATTTTTAGACAATTAAAAAAGCTAACTACTTTAATTCACTCTAATGGCACATCCGGTAAACAGTTCAGTAATAAAGCAAAATGATACAGCATATTTCATAAAATAAACAGTTGTATCATGTTACACAGTCAAAATATTGCTGGTTTGGGTTTCCAAGACAACCACATAAGAAATTTTTCTATGCACTTTTCCATCTAGGCTCAGCATCACCTCAGTCTGTAACATACAGTATTTGTGGTCCCAGACACACAGAAAGCTTATTAAGTAATGAAAAAAATTTGTTCCCTGGCTACAGCACGCCCCCAGTACCAGCCAGAAAAGCCTGTAATGGCTAGAGGATGAAACAGAGGGTGGGGAAAGGGAAAGAAAGTGCTAACACAAATGCAATTTTGACTACAGCCTGTTGTAAGTTGTGGGGTAGCAGGTGAGAAAATGATGAGCATAGGATTGAAACAGAAAGGAAGAATCTAAGCAGTGTTGAAGTGCCCACAGAAACACAAATAAGTAGGTGTGAATGATCCAACTAACTCTACCTGGAGACAGTCCTAAGTATGTAAATATGAGCTCTGTTCCAGTAACGTAAGTAGTACAGAGCTCATATTTATAAAGCTAGAACTTTTACCTACTGGTTCTCACAAAAAGCATTTGGCCAATAGACTGTCATTTATTTATAATTTATAATTTATATTTATAATTTATGTCAATTATTGTGCCCCTCTCACAAATCTCGCAAAACTGGCAATTTTTATTTTGTCTATATAAGGTGTTTTGAGAATAAAACAAGGTGGCTTAAGTTGGCATTTGACAGGAGAAAACAAATGGCTTTTTTGCATGTACAAAGCAGTAGAAGCCAAAGGGTACAGGCCTGTTTAAAAAGTCCTCAGCACTTCAGAGATGTGGATTACTTGTATCACTCTTCTTGGTATGATGCTGTATTAGAATATAATGTTCATCTGAAAGCAATACGTAAGTGTTCACTGGAGATTCATCCTATAGCGTGGGATCAATCAGCTCAAAGAAAAACCAAACCAAAAAAACACAAGACTACGTCACTGTTAATATTTATTCCCAACTTAAATATAAGAGACAGATTTAGCAACCCTTCTTCTGCAAGCAAGATAAATTTATCAGTGCTATTCATACCATACCCAAATTAAGAGTAATCTGGAATAGCTTGAGAAAGAGGTCCCATCCGAACTCACAAAAGTCACACCACTGGAAACTCCTCAAAAGATAGGAGAGAAGGAGGAGGTAGAGACTTCCCAGCAAGCATCAAATATCTCTCTCAATAATTAAAACAGGGGACTATTCCAAACCTGAGCGTATGGCATCCCTAAGATTATCACTAGCAGCTATGAATGCAATCATTATACATTGAAATTGCACAGCTAATGTACTGTATAGTTTAACTGGATTGAAGAAATTAGGCAGAGAGAACGTTATCAAAACATTTGCAGTTTATACATTCCTAGTAAATATGGAACCATGGCATAAAATTTTCAGCACAAAAATACATTTACATTTTCTCTTGAAGGCTGGACTAAGCCTTGCTTTGTACACTTCAACATCTTCCAATTCAATTTTACTCAGACTTCCTGGGCCAATCAAGTCTTCTGCAGTGCTTAATTTTAAAAGATTTAACAGTTTGTCAGATGAAACACTAAATCAGCTATTTCTACACTCCTTCTAATGTACATAGAGTAAGGAGACAGAAGATTCTTTTAATGTGAAAAAAGTAAATTTTAAAACAATGATGAAATTCCAAGTAAATATGGTTTTATATATTTATGCAACTTTGCTTTGTCTTGAGAGCCAGAAAATTAAGGATTTTCAGCAGCAGTAGTACATAGGAATGTTTATGTAAGACAGAAAAAAATAAAAGCACATAGGTTTCCTTTGCAGTCTTGTGTTTCCTCTTAAATTCTTCTGCACATGCATGAATTAGTGTTACAGATTTTTCTTGTCTTCTACATTTGAAAGCAGAAAAAAATGCACCAGAAAATATGTATTTCGGTTTTAGGGACCACATTTACAGCTACTTTGCTACAGCAATGCACAATGATATAAGCACCCCTGTTTTGCATTGCCTGAAGACCTAGCTGATTATTTTTTATGTCTATAGAGGCACTTAGGGTGATATTTTTAGATTAACTCTTTTTGTTAACATTCTCTGCATAATTTACATGTACTTATTCCCTTTGGGGTAGAGCAGTTATCTGAACTGGGCGAGCAAAGGCAAACAGCATCATTTAGCAGCCCTTGCAGAGAGCCAGGGTCACACAGTCTTTTTGGTGTCTGGATGGGGAAGAACACTGAACTTAACCTCTGAGCCACTGGTCAAGAATTTCCAGTTTACACATACAATTTCCTTTTGTGTCTTAAAGTGATGGTCTGCTGGTTTTATATTATTAGGAATATGAGTTTAGTGGTACATCCACTGCATGTGTGGCTGGCATTCAAGCAGACTTTTGGGGCAATTAGATTTCTTAGTAATTCTTTGATTAACAGTCCCACAGTTCTTGTTTTCCATGTAACAAGCAGGTTGATTAACCCACTGTTTCTCAATACAAGTGGGACAGCTCTGTAAATGTTATGGTTCATCAAAATTCAATATGTTAACAGCTCTAGGACACTTGAAGTTTTCCACAAGTCACAGTGGCAGTACCAGTCTTTCATTTTTTCAATTTCTCACAGAAAAGTAAAGATTAATCATTGTTACTATATGTAAGAATTTCTTGTTAATAATACAGGTTTTCATTCATCTATCATTATCTCACCATCATATAAGGACCTGCTTCTCCAGTACCATTTGGTCTCAGCGCCTGTGCTCCAGGGCTGATAATGTTCCTTTATTCCACTTTCCCCTCTGACCAAGCTGCACAATAAGTAAAGGAGAGCCAGCTTAATAATAATTGGTACTAAGGAGCTGTGTTGCACTGTGTTCCAATATTCTAAGTAGTTTGGAATTCTTTAGGGTTTTTTAAGTGTTATTTCCCATTTTCCAAACAAAAAGAAATGATGGAAGGTTCCAGGGCACAGTCACTGATACTTACTGTGCAAATTTCCTTGCTGCACACTCCACGTAGTTAGGTGTGAGTATGCAGGCACAGCATGAGTGTGCTGGGAGCATTTGATACCGCATTTTCTACCTATAGCCCCACTGACTAAGCAAAACATAGTACAGCCTCACTTAAGGGCATTAGCTCACATTCTGTATTAAACTCAAATGGCAGTAAACAGGGAAAGTTCATCTATGGCAATTTTAAAATTGAGATGCTTCTTATAATATCAGTGAATTCTACGTGATCATTAGAAAAACAATTCCACTCAAAATGCTACATACAAAATTCACAGTGGATGTGTATGTTTTATTTAAAGTAGACATATATGGAAGTGGACAAAATTCAGTATTTCAAAAGTAACCTGTTTAGTTTCTAGGGACACGTAAAAACAGCCTTCCACTTTGAAGGCTTCAAAATATATACTTAAAATCTGCAACTAACCAGAAGTTCCGCTAAATGACCAAAGCTGTTTTACTGTCCACAGGCATCTGTATTTTTACTGCTAATAGAACTAACATTCAGGTGTGATAGTAGTCTAAAAACAGCAGGATGTTAATTTTCAAATACCTTTTCCCTTTGGTCATTAAACAGTTAAAGTGAAGCACTTTTACCAGTGAAAACCATAAGTAGCAGAAAAGTAAAGAACATTCAGAATATATTTCCACTCATTCCTTTAAGAGCTGATGATCTTTGAGGGCTAGCTCATCCTTCACCAAATTCAGTATGGTACCCTACTTGCAGTCACACCAAAGCTCTGCCAGCCTGTTGCAGCTGGAGACCATTTGCTCACAGATAACCTGAAGAGCCTATTTGCCAGCTTTGGTTTGTGCTTGTCTTACACTGTATATAAATTTAAGTCTGAACACAGATTTAGATAGGAACCATGCCATTCTGAAGGCCAGCCAGTAAGGATAAACACTAAAAAGTTGCACACACCTGAAACTAAAATCCTGAAAATGCACTGCGTAAAGCTGTGCATCACTGCCTTGTGCAGAACAGAAAGAAAAACTGATTTGGCATGAAGGTAATATTTTCTTTTTCTCCTTCTGCTTTGTTCTCCTCTCTTATCCCCAAAAAGTCCACACAAATCTTGCTAGTCTTGTCATTTCCATTAAGACAGGAGAAAATTTTGCCAAATTTTCATGAAAACACAAAAACCCACAAATCTGCAATCACACCTGTCAGATACTGCAGTATCTGCAGCAGATACTGGTGATGGGTTGAATTTGCAGTGAAAGTTCTGGACTATTTCTATAGAAACCTATACGTCACTCATAATGACTTAATGGCATATGGACTCATGGCAAAAGTTTTCAGATTCTCTTCAACAAAACATTATGGATCATCTAAGGGGGATAATTTAAAATGCTCTTTGTCAAGGGTGGAGGGGCTAATGCCAGTCAGTTCTGAGCTCAGGTTCAGATAGCTCTGCCCAAGAGTTAGTTCCCCAGAGCTACACCAATACATCTCGGACAGCAGGTTTGGAGCACCTTTGAATGGACAAGGCCAAGCAAACATGCAGAAGTCAGAAATCTGAAATGCTAAATTTTTATCTATTTCAGTTCTTCTGAAATAAGACAACCCCATCTCAAACTGCTCCAGAAGAAAAGGCATAATGTATAAAGGTTTCTACTCTGGGAAGGTTTTCCCTTCATGCAGTCTTTACCAATATGCAGCAAAACAACTCTAACATTGCTAAAGAGAAGCAGCAACATAAAAAAGACTGAATTAAGGCTAAGGACAATTGGACTGTTAACAGAGTTCTCCCCCAGAAGTTATAAGGTTTTCCTACTTAACCTCCTGGCTTACACAAACACATGCGCACTTCTTAAGGTACTACACAATAAATTTAAAAAGTAAAAGAGTCTAACAATAACAAAAAGCACAGCAAGTTTGGTTTGGTTTTTTTCAGTTTTAGTTTTGGCAAAAAACAGGGCTGTTCCTCCATCAATTACATTATATTTCAGAAACTAGTTACATAACTACAATAACTGTCATGTTTTCCTTTTCTTTTCTGTATTTTATTTTATGCCAAAAAGAGGTTGTTCACGTTTCACAACTCTAAGTCATGCTGGGAAAGAAGTTGGTGACTGCACAAAAGCGAGGGGAGACAAGAGCCCTCTGCCTGGGACTGGGAATGGTTGCATGTTCCATGATGATGTACTTTTTTATTGGAATCACCATTGTGCCATTTTACACTAAGAGGTAATAAGAGACATTTATTTATGAAACAAAGCCATGCTTTTTCCTGTTAGCATCATATACAATAATTAAAACAGTCATAAAAATATATGTAAGTATATTGTACAATAAACAAAGTGCTCTCAAAAAGCTTGCAAGGATTTAAGACAGAAGAGAAAAAGTGTGCCAAGAATTCATCTGGCACAACTGAGCACAAAAAAGAGGAAATTATTCTCCTCAGAGCTAAACAAAATAGCCTGAATTGAAACATTTACTGCAGAATCAAAAAGCCAACCATGGTATCAAAACTTAATGATGAAAAGCCAAGCTTTGCATAAATAAAAACAGTTCAAAAAAGCTCTTTCATGGGCAGGAGAGTGTCGTGTTTAATAAAAGTTAAGCAACAGAAGTCATGGTAAAATTGTTCACGCAAGAATCTGTTTCTTACTTCCAAATTAACCATCATAAGAAATTAGCACCTTGCAACAACCCAGTGTGCCACATCAAATATTACAGGACATAATGAATGCTGAAGGACTTACTAATGCCCACCCTTTTATTTAATTTTGCAAGTTCTGCCTACAGACACAAAACCAATTTGTAAGATATTGAAGTAACAAGTTAATATATTGAGATTATGACAGAAAAAGCAAGGACATCCACCTCATTCTTCTTGCTAGAGCACATTTAATCTCAAAACTATTTCTTTAAAAAGAGACCATTCTCTTTAAAATTGAGTAATTCACATATTTATTTTCATTCCTCCAGGTTACATTACAAAAGACTCATACATGTATCCAGAGTAGTTTCATAAGAACTGGAATAAGACTGTTTCTTGACTTTCTTTGTCACCAAAGTGTACTATTGTGAGCAAAATTTAATGTGTTATCAATAATCAAAAAGAAACTCTTGAGAAAAACAGATAAGCAACAGCCAAAATTAACTTTTTCCAGATAAAATCTTGCTACTTATTTATACAAGAGGCCCATGCAATAAAGAAAAAGAGAAGTGGCGAAAAACACGGGTACTCATCTGAGTTCTGAGGCTTACTGAATGAAATCAAAGTATTTCCGAGACATGAAATGTACTGCATTCCAGGTATTTACTACCAAACTTTAAAATCCATAGCAATTTTTCTTTCTTGAATAACATGAAACCAGCTACAGATGGGAAGGTCAGAATCTAGCTGGAAAACCACAGAATGCATAAAAAACAACAGCATAAAGCAGCAAAAACAACAAACATACTTTCCCACACTTACTCACTACAGCAACCCTTCTCCAGATGCAGCCCCAGATTCAGGGTGGGCACAGTTCATCACACCAGGATGAAGAAGCTATGAACTCCAGCCAAGCCACCACACACAGATGTATTTGCACATGCAACTCACAACAGATGTTTCTGATGAGCTTCAAAGTAATACCTTTTGTTTTGTTTTTGTAGTGTTTGGACAACAGAAACTGTGTGCAAGGTACTCAAAGCCAACATCAAGGACAAAGTTTTCTGCCCAAACAGTGAAGGCTCAGAGGATGAGGAAATCTTTCCTTATCCCTGTCTACAGGTGTGGGTTAATCTGACAGCCTCAGGACAGGAGGTTATGCTCTACCAGACTGAAGATACACTGGAAAGAAATCCTGAGGTACTCACAATACAAACTGCATACTCCCTATCTGCATGCTTTCTAACACCTTTGAGGAGAGGGGCTGATAGTTTTCAAATGGAGCAGCACAGTAACAGCAGGAGTTACTCATCTTTTGTATGTTAACCTCTGGGCTTAGGCCAAGGCAATATCAAAACATTCCAGAAATGATAGAGTTTTGGATTTTATTTTAAGCATTACATTAAATATTAAGTTAATACTTTTTAAGGAATTACACCAACACGAATATACAACACTTATGAACATTTTAAAATATGTAAGTTTCCCAGTTGAAGACCCATTGTAACAAATGGTTTATAAGCTGTGGTTTGCTTAGTTCCTTGTTGAATTAGCACGAGAGACATCAAGTTTAAAACCATCCAAAATAAGAGAACAAATCCCAATTTTACTTGTTTTTAGGTGTATATTATGAAGCAGAAAATAAAGAAAGAGAAAATGGCAACATGATGCACATTTTAGACAGAAAGAAGTAAAAAATCAGTGAAAATTCAGATCTTGGATGCCCAAGACTGCCACTTTCACAATCCAGAACAAACATGCTCAGATTACAAGTGCAAAGCATTTATATAGATTAGAGCTTCCCACAGTGCAAACCTAATAACATAGATCTCTTCAGCTGAAGAGAATTTTTCTAGCCAATGCCTATCTTTAAAATGTCTCAGGGGAAGCTACACTAACGAAGGAGCAAACAGAAATTACCAACTATAGATTGAAATAAGTCTTGTTCACTGAAAGGGGAGGCAACTTCTTGATGTCCTACCTACTTGCATTAATGCAAGTAAAATTTTCAGGTCAGGACCCATCCCCACTTTTGCCCTGGCCAAGTTCCAGTTTAGTACATTCAAACATTATTATATACACAAAATAATACTGCAGGGAAAAAAAAAGTTTATGAACAACAACAACAAAATTACTGCTTCAAAGTCTATTTCCACTGAAAACTAAATAATTCTGCATTATTACCACAGGTCCAAATAGCTCTGTTTTACAAGGACAAGTAGGAAGCCTCCAACAGCCATGCTTGTTGTATTTTTCTACTATTTACAACCAGAAGTGTGCAGCGAAACAACTTCATTCTTGTGCACACTGACAAGCCAGTGTGAATTTCTGCACAACACTTTCCTGCTGTGGCAGTGCCCAGAAGCTCTGTTAGGAATTGGAGCTTGGCACTGTAATTATGAAGTGACAGTGTCAAAGACAGCAGGGGTTTTTTTGAGCATGTATGTTATTGGTTTCCAGCAACATAACTCCAGTCCGTAAATATGCGGATTGGGGGCATAGACATACTGATGGAAAGAGGGAAGCATGGCATAGCAAATGAACATAATGAAACCAAGATAATCTCCAGGGATGCCAAACCACAGAAGATTTTGTCAGCACTAGCATGATTTTTTTCACCCAATCTGACTTAACTAAAAACTTTGTATGGGAGTATTTGTTATAATGAATCACCTTGATCTCTTATTTCAGTGCTCATACGTCCCAGACAAGTTGGAGAACTCTAAAGACGTTAAGGCACGAGTAGAAACAATTGCAAGCAATTTCAAAAAATACCAGACTTTCCCATGTTACTATGACCCAGGAGGAGCACAGACCAACGTCATTTTAAGCAGACGTTATCCCTCCAAAGGCCTTCTCTTTGCTTTCCTCTGGCCTACGCTCATGTTTACTGGCGGATGTCTGATTATTGTTCTGGTAAAAATTAGTCAGTATGTTTCTGTTCTTTCTGCTTGGCAGTAAAAAATACATATCTAGTAAAGATTGTTGCAATTGTAGGAAGATACTAACGTGCATTTGTTCTGCCTTATTGGCATTTTGTGACTCTTAATATACCAGGTGTCGATTCAAGGGCAGGCATTCCAAAAAATTGAATAGCAACCACCACAGATGGCAACCCATTATGCAAGGACAAAATATAAAACTGATTCCCAGGAATGCCTGAAAATACATCATAAACACACAGACTTAGTTATTCTATTGTTTCCTTGAGCTTTAGGAGGTGTGGCTGCTTTACAAAGCTACTATTCACATTTACTACTAAACTCTTCCACATTTTAGATGGAGTGCTAGTTTTCTGTCTGGTTGAGATCAGTTAGTGCCAGATCCATATACATCATCACTGGCAGACACACCCTTTATACCCTTATACACTAATAGAGTATGTACTCATGGCATACTCATCTGTTGAGAAAAGCAGCTTTGTTATGGTGCAAAAAAGGTATATTTTTTATCATGGATCTTGGGAAAGGGAAGAGAGAAAGCCCCTCAAAACAAAAATACACATACAGACTTTACAAAACTTGCACTCTAATCATCTGACGCCAATTGTATATAAAGCAATATATGCATAAAATACAAGGTATGGTATAGAAGCCTATACTAAAAGTATGTTTTTCTATTGAACTCAAATCTTAGCCTTGCCTTATCTGAGACAAGTGTGCCACTCAAGGAAGGTTACCTGGCTGCTGTTAAGAATAACATGTTACTGTTACTGTTTGTAAACCCCTTACTTATCTTGTACCCCTGTCCCAAATTACTGTACCCCGTGTTTCTTGTTCCTTGTTCAGCCAGGCCCTGCCCCCTCTCCCGAGTTGCTGTACCCTGTGCTTCTCGTTCGTGTTCAGCCAGGCCCTACCCCCACTGCTCCTAGACTCCCACATGGCAACACTGTACCCCTGCCCCAAGTTCCTGTACCTTGTTCAGTTGGGCCCTGAGGAGGAGGATGACATAAAGACTTTTATGCAAACGAGAGAGACCAGAGACTCATGGGACGCACCCAGACTGGAAAAAACCCCGAAACAATGAGCCACACAAAAGGAAAGGAATAAAAGCAGCACCATCGAACAATGAAGACCCAGAGGAGTCCCCTGACTTCCCTCCAGAGGCCGACATAACCTCGAGGGGACTCGACTGGGATGACACCCTAGACTACGAGACCAAGAGAACGAGTCTTCCTGGGGACTGCAGTGAGGAAGGAAGGCCCAGCTCTGCCCAAGTGACAAAGCTGCATGGATCCTCCTCTTCTGAGGTGTCCAAGTGGGAGCAGTGGTGGTGTGCACGACCCCTCGGGCCTCCACCGCAGAGCTGTCGTGTTTAATAAAGGCCTTTTTAAAAAAGAGCTGGTCTCCTGACCTGTTCATCACAGCTGCCACTTGTATAGATTATAAAACTGATACAAAAAGGAAGTTATGATATAAGGAATGGAGTGTCCTGGTTCTGGCCAAGACAGGGTTAATTCTGCAACAGCCCAGAGGGCCTGCATGGCCAGGACCCAGAGGTTATTCTGTAGCACCTCACCTCCTTTTCTGGGAAAGGGCTGCCTGCCAGCTGGGGTAACAAAGCAGAAGGAATGGTCAGTTATTGTCGGGAGTGAGAACTCAGGTAGAAATCATTTCCTGTACACTCTTTTATTAGTATTGTTGCTGTTACTGTTCATTGTCTTTTCATTGATGTTTCCAGTAAATTGTTCTTATCGCAACCCATGATGTTTGCATTTTGTGCCTCCAGTACTCCTCTCCAGATCATCTAAGTGGGGAAGAGGAGAGGGGAGGAGCAAGCAGCTCGTGGTTTGGCATGTTTCTGTAGGAACACTTAATTGAGGAATACCATTCTTAAACCACAAGTGAAATACATCTCTGATGTCTTAATAAACTAGCACCAAGATATTTCACAAAAGAGATATGTTTGTTTCCAGAGCCAAGACATCTAGGAATGTTCTGGTGCATGTAGAGAGACTTTCTCTGTTCTCTAAAAATAACTGTTTCTCTCAGCCAAATTTCAAATTGTCATTGGAAACAGGTGAACATGAGATACTTTCTGCGTACTATATTTGACTGTCATCTGGGGCAAAACTGGTACAAGCTTTCTCACCACACACGTGATAGGAAAAGACTTAAGGAAATAACAGTCAACAAGTCTGACTGGAAAAAAATATTAGCCAGTTCAAACTAAACTTAGAAAACCCTAATGCATTGAATTAATGGAAGAAAGAATAGCTTACATTTTTATAACTTTCAACCACATCTTAGTACTTTAACAAGACCTACCTCACTTCAATTCACTTTTGGATATAGCACTAGCAAGTCACCAGTGAAACCCTCCACTAAAAGCCTACTTTTAGGAAGGGGACTTGGCCATGTACATCAGAAACATGCCATGCAGCCTCCTGCCATGTGACTAGCATTATTTCACCTTGGAACTTTCATCCCTTCCTTTGCTCTCCTTCAAAAGAGCAAAACAGCAACTACAGTACCTGTTCCATGTATGATGAGACTGATCAACCAATAAAAATGCACTTTTCACTGAAGCAAAGCTTGATGCCTGTCATTAATCATCATTTCTATTTCCACATTATATTACTATGTTCCACTTCCATTTATAATGGATTTTTTTGCATTACTACAGCATCATTTGTAACAAGATATTTCTGTATTTCTATTTTAGTGTAAAACATCCTCTTGTAGGCATTTATAGAAAAAAAATATTGAAACAAAGAAAATACTATGCAATACCATAAAGTAATGGCGAAGAGCCAATATGCAACATAAAAAACCCTACACTCCAACTTTACTTTTCTAAGCAAACACTTAATACAAATTACGTCTGGGAAGAAAAGTTACAATAAACCTCATCGTCCAACATACAAGCCACAATTTTCTATTTTTATGTCCTGTAAAACTCTCAAATATACTGCATCCTACAGTCCTCTGTTTGAGAAAGCAGAGCTACTCTGAACAAGCTACTACATTAACATTCTGTAACTTGTATTTCTTAAACTCTGTCAGGCAACTATTGCTCTATCATACAGTGCTCTTGAGAATCAAAAGATCCTGGCCTCAGAGGCAGCTACCAAATCCTGAGAGAGCAGTCAGTAAGGACTTGACGCTTTCAGAGCTATACCATTGCAAATAATTAAGTTTCTAATAAATTTCTAGCAGCAACATGCAGCTATATGCTTGCACAGATATTAGTTTAGAGGCAGAGGTTTATAAAGTTTTAAAAGGGAGACTAGAGCATTATCACTTACAGTTTTTAAAATTCATCTTGCTCTTGATGACAGAAGTGCAGTGCATGTACATATATTCAGATTCCTTTAGTACAGCCTTCGCAGAAGAGATAGTTTTATTTGCAGTTCATTTTTCATAGGCATGCAAACATGTAATATGCCAAACAGAGGTGTACTTTGCTTAGTGGCTCAAAGCCTGATCATTATGAAGAACATGTAATTAAATAAGCTGACTTTTTTAAGGAGCAAAACAAAAATCACAGTCACAGCACACAAAAGTCCCCATCATGCAATGAAACTGAAGAGTTTCACTGGGTAAAGTTAGGATCAGGTACTGAATGGTGAAGCTTCTGTAGTTCCAGGATCTTCTCTAAGTCAAAAGCTATTCTGCCCCTCAGACCAAGAGCCCCCTGCTAACAGCATTGTATGTACAGAAACTATCACCTTTCAGTGCCATTTGGTAAACACTGACAAGCTCTAACTCCACTCTATAAAAGCACATTATTATGGGTAACCCTAACCACTTTCCTTATTGAAGAACATTTAAAACACTCAGAAGAGTGTACTAAAGAGAGAACTGGTGCATCAGTCCCTTCTGAATTAGATCTTCCCTCAACTTGAAGGCAGTAGCCTTAATTCAAGGAGTGAAGAGGGGCTATGCTGCCACAGGAGGATCAGAATATTTTTTCATATGTCACACAGATGCAGGAACACTGGCATGACCTGAACAATTGTAATGAACCTCCCTGAGTCTTTCAGGCATCTTGCAACATTTACCCTACCATTACATTTTCAGAGGCTAGAGTCACGAGGACAAACTTAACACAGTGCTAGTATGCACCAAAGGCACAAGATTAACTTCTCCTAGAAGAGACAGAGGAGACAGAGCCTGAGTATGACTAAGAGGAACCATGTGCTTTCCTTACTGTCTCACATAATATTTTAGAAGACTATCTGTGTTTTAAATTCACAAAGCATCAAAACAGACCACACAGCTGTAAAACACTCAGAATACTTTCTTTCATGCTGGGAGAGGCTGGGGGGAGAGCAAGATGTTTGATGACTTTATCACTGCGGTGGAACAGATAATTTAAGCAATTAAAACTATGAAAAGTAGACAAATTACCAGTTCCAGATGAATTGCACTGTGGAACAAAATTGGGAGAAGCAAAAAGTCAGAAATGAGTGCCTTTGGCAAGCATCTTAAGAGCACAACTAAAAGAGTGGAGATTCTAGAACAAAGGTGAAAGGGTAGTTAATTTGCAGAAATTTATCTGGTTTTGCAAAGGAATATTTTAAAGGAGTTGGTTCCTAAAATAATCTTGCTTTTCTTGTGTTAATAATTAGAACACATTAATAGAAATCAAGAGGCCTCATTCCAGCTTCACTTTTGGTAACCCAACAAGGCCCTCCCCTCCTAGGTTTTTAATGGTATTAGCAATATCTTCACACACTCAGGCTTCTTGTTTAATCATTCTGCTCAACAGGAAACCCTCTACAAACTCATTCTTGAGTTCCTACTTGCTTCCAGGCCATGGAGAATGTATCACCATTTCACATGCCAGAGTAATGTGAAAGAACACTATAACTTCCCACAAAATCTTCACAAAGGCAATTTCGATGAAGGTGCTCTGCTCACCCACTGTCCATCACATGTGCTAGCATTGCCAAAAGCCTCTTCTACAATCTTCTCTGGAGGTACTGAATACCCATCCCAGCCAAGGAGAACAAGGGAGTTATCCTGCTTACACCAGCAGAAACAGGGCATGCTTCTCCAGGCATGCCTTCAACATATACATCTCACTATGAAAGCAACAGCTCTTGGTGGAGGAGGCCTTCTCTTGCACAGACACAAAAACCTCTGCTCTGCTACTAAAACTTTACAAATAAGAACATACTAAGATGGAAGCTAGCAAAATTTGCTAGACCAGCTTGCAGAAATACCAGCTCTTGGCTTACAGTCTCATAAACTTGCTGCAGACATAAATCAGGACATACCAACCAGGCTGCACAGTGGTACAGATGTGCCTCTTCCCTTACTGCCCACTGCAGGGAGAGGCAGCAGTCTCCTCACACCTTGCTGAAAAAGTAAGGACTTCATAGCTGCAATCAATTTCATTTTACTATTGTAAATAACCATTGCTATTATTAAAACCAGCAGAAGCCATAGAGGGCAACTAAGGATTACATGCCAATTGAACTGGAGAGTATCTCCAGCTGCAATAACCCTGCAGAATGGCTTAAGCATAAGAGAGAAACTTGTGCCTAGTAAAGAATTTTCCTTGTTAAAGTAAAATCTCACATTAAACTGTATGAAAGAAATGAGGAAGAAGTAGGATGAAAAACACAGTGATAATACTTGAATATGAAAAAGCATGTATATGGTGTAAGCTTAAAAAACCAATAATAGTGATATACAGCAGTTTCTATTTCTTGGTTTTTCATGCCTAAGTTTTTCTAAAAGAAACACTAAACAATAAGCTCTGGGATGAACATACAAGCAAACATCAACACTTTTTTTTTTAAAATTCAACAATCCTGAGCAATATTTTTTCTAATCACTTTCTTTCTAGTTATGATTTTCATCAGCAACAATATGGTAACATTAATTCTAATTGTAGCAGGTCTTTGATGTCTGTGCAATGAATGTGGTTTATTCCTTCCTGAATCATTTTCTCTCAGTTCAAAACTCAAGCTGAATGGAAAAAAAAGGAAGTTTATCAGAGTTTTAAATTCTTTGAAGCCTTGGAAGACACTCTTATCTCATCCAAACAGCTTGAAGAGAGACACTGGCATGGAAAAGAGATGGGTAAAAGTGTACAACACCATTGCATTGGCTGCAATGACTACGATAATCAATGCTGGCGCATTTCAGAAGGCAACAGGGGAAACAGGTCTTGGACATTTTATACTTTGATTTCTAGCTCTTCTTAGAGTGCTATGTAGTCAGACTCAAATTTTCATCTATCCCATTGCCAAAGCAAAGGAAACTGTGGCAGTCTCATTTTATTATTGTATTTATTATGTCAAGAAACACAAGGGCTGTTTGAAAGCACCTTATTAGATGAACTGCTCTAGATGTACGTGTGGG